ATCCTTGCGAGGAAAACGGAGAATTCGAGGATAAAAGCAATCTTTGATGAAAAATCTAAGATATGATTTGAAAGACTAAAAAATTCTGATGAATAGAAAATAATGTTCTTTAATCTGAGAATCCAAACATTTAACATTATGACATCTTGTTGTTTGAGAATCTCGGCTCTCATTCATCTAACAGTTTAATGATTCAAAGTTCAAATAACAAGAATCCACTCTGTGATTCGATTTCAATGATTTGATTTAAAGAATACAAAAATTCTAAGGTTGTGACGTTCTATAATTAAGATTTAGATCCATCAAATCATATAAGAAAAATACTGTTTCTCTTTATAGAATATAAAAAAAATAATTATAAATATCTATATATAATTATATAAGGAAAATCTAGAATATCAAAAAAAAATGTTTTAATTATTAAAAACGGATTAAATTCATCAATATTTGCGATAGAAGTTGATCTTAGGAACTTTACTAACCACAATTGTGATTCAATCGGTACCTTCTTCTAAGAAAGGATTAACCAGCATTTTATTTTGAACGATCCGTGATTATAGTCATTTTTTTACCTAACCGCAATCAAAGTCTACCTCATCAAAAGCTTTCATCACTCTACTACTGCTTCTCTTTCCATCAAAGTTCCAGATAAAATTTAAAACTTTAAATTAAAATTTAATACACGTTCCACCTAGGTTTAATATTCTAAAATTAATTATGACAAATATTGGCAATATTGTTTAATTTTAAAATTATGAATCAGATCAGGAATTGCGAATCTAAGATAAAGAGCTTTTAGGATGTAAATTAATATCAACTTTATGCGTGAATGAGTTTCGAACGATCGAATAGATCAGATTATTAAAGTTTCTTGAAATATTAATCTAAGCTGCGATTTTCTTATTCGAAATAACTTATACGCAAGCGATACTTTACAGCAGATACAATTTTGCTTCTCTCGTGGCGGAGATTCTATTATCGTAGAACCGATGTCACGCAGAGAAATTATCTTCTCCGTCTACGCGGCTTTTCGCTTGTCCAGAACATGATTGATGATCGCAACGACTGCATGGTCGGTTCGAGGCAGTCGAGATAGTCAGAGCATCGGAATATCCGGGATTGGAGCAGCGCTGCGACCAAACCGAATTCTGGAGAAGTTAGCAGGTCCAAGATGACCGCGATTTAGATGAAAATAACCAAGCGAAAATAATTTTGGCCGCGGGTGCTTCGTTGCCGATGAACGGAGATCAGTAAGGGACGACCGACAGGATTTGCCGTCGCGTTCCAGCTATTTAACCGATTACAGGTGAGCAGAATATGATAGAAGAAAAATTTACTAGTCACTATAACTTCTCAAGACATCGATCCATGTATTTTATTTTATTAAAAATAAGAAGATTAAATTTTTCTTGGAATGTTGCAAAATATATGTTGTTTAACAATAGATTTTAGAAATCTATGCTAGAAGTATCAAATGTATAAATATGAAAATAATGCAAATTGTTGACAAGGATAGCATTACAAAAACAACTTTCAATAAGTACAACTTTAATACTTACAGCTGTAATGCCATTATTACTTTGCGTAATAATTTCTCATATGTTTCATATTTTTACTTCATTTTATAATATATACAAATATTATACATATAATGTTGTGTTTCATGCTCTCTAAAACTTTTAGAATGAATTGTCACTTTGAAGAATGAAATTTCACTCTTAAAGATTGAAAATTGAGCTATTCTTTTTCAAAATTGGCTCAATTTTTGTTCTTTAAAAGGAGATTCTACTCCAAAGAATTTAGAGAATATATTTTAAAGATTTTGTAAAACTTTTTTATCTTTACTTAGTAATCTATAATAATTTATACAAGAGACACTTTCAAAGTTCTAAGAATCGCATTATAAATTGATGGATAAAAAAACATACTCTTCAAAACTCAAAAGTTTTTCGAAAACGGTTTAAGAAAAATGATTTTGCGTTAGAATACATGTGTTCAATTGTAATTTTATTGATAAAATAAACAATTTAGAGCACAATCTCCAGAACTTTAGAAATATCCTTCGCATATTTAAATAATCATTGAAACAAAATAATTATTGATATTTTTCAACATTTTAATAGATAATAAATTCTTGTGAGAATTTTCATTTTAAATGAAAACATTAAGGGTCGTTTATTCAATCTTCAGATAAACTATGTGATAATTTATCTATTGGATAAACAAAAGAGTAAGTGCATAAAAGAGTAAGAGAGTAAAGGCATAACAGAGTAAGAGAGTAAAATAATGAGGTAAAACAACCTAGCCTAAATAATGTAATTTTCAAGTAAACACGATTTTTCAATCACTGCAATCTGCGCAAGATATTCTGATACAAATGCAGTTCCGCTGATGTACTACGCATATATCTTTCACTACGAAGGTTCTGTTATCGAAGGATCAAGCGAATCGATTTTATGGAAATATGGTGCGCGATAATATCAAATCCACGTGCTATTGCAGACATAATGCCACCGCAATGCAAATCCGCGGGGATGGTGAGCACTTCGCTTTTTACCTCAAACAATGCCGTTTTCGAGGATGAATTAATTAACATCGAAGAGTCGTATCGTTGCGATCGACGTTACATTACGTTACATGCGAGCAATGCTTGAGACGATGCTTCCGGTATTCAACGTTGTTTGAATAGGAATGATGAAATAGTATGTTGTGTGTGTGTGTGTGTGTGTGTGTGTGTATAAATGTTTAAAAATTGAAATTACTGGAAAACCAGAAAACCTTGTAAAAATCGATTTTTTACTCTTGAAAGTTTTTTACTCGAACATGTAGGGTGTATATGAAATAAGTATCAAATATTCTAGAAATATTTTTCCATTAACCAAACTTTAAAAAATATTTGTATGAATATAGGCTAAAATGTTTTGTTTTTGAGATAAAAGGAATTTTATTATAAAAATCTAGTATCAAATAATTGATGAAACAAGTAAGACACATTTAAAAATTGTTTAACATTAAACACTAGAAATACTTTGTTTTAGAATTATTAAAGATTTTCCAATCTTTTTTTTTATAGTTAACAAACAATAATGTGTGTAACTGTAAAATATGATACCAGACAATTTAGTATTACTTTCTATTACTTTAAAAGAGTAAAATTCTTTCTATTTTAAAAATTAACATTTATAGATTTTTGATTAAAAAAAGGCAGTTTTTAACTATAAAAACTGTTTTCTTATTTAATTATTTACTTTGAAGTATAAAATATCTTTTTTTTTCATCTTTATATATGTTCCACTCTGAATCTATTTCGTTAAATCTAAATCTCATCAATTTTATAAATTATCTCTTAATGTAATTCCGATTTATACAAGAGTATTTGGAAATAGAAATGTATTTCCTTTAAGTTTGGTATAAAGGGATTTAACTCGAAGGGATAATCCGCCGGTAACTTCGTAAGCGAGAGATATCATCTCGCGTTCGCGTAAAGCGCAATTTGAAGGCGAGAGTCGTTCGTTAAAGGGGCTCATTACCGTCAACCACACATTGTTTTCATTCATCGGTTTCTGTTCGTGTCACCTGGATAGCGTGTCTTGAATGAATGCACCTGCATAGCACGAAGCGACTCTTAAGGATCCTGAACCTTGAGTCTCAAGTCTCTATTCTCACGATGACAGGAAGAGCTTCTTTCATTCGTGATTATACAATGCAGTTTATTATACATATAAGATTATAACGTCACATAGCTTTAAACTCTTGTTTTTTACATGATAAAGTTTTTACTCTATAAAAAAATATTTGAATTGCAATTTAGTACATAAAGTTTAGTATGTATCAAGAATGATCTTTAAAATTCTTTTTTCTAAGGATTGATAGAGTTGTTCGAAAAAAGAAAAGTAACGAATTTATATTTTAGAGTTTTATATTTATTTGAATAACTTTTCAATATGTTTATTTATGTCTTTTGTATAAATCAAGATACGATTCTAAAATTTCATAAATATGTTTAGCAGATGTCAAATCATATTAGTTATCCCAGTCTGTGGATCTGAAAATTGAGGATTTATTAAATAAATAATAATGTTGTAGTTTTACCGTAGACGTAACTCTTTATGAGAGCATCGATTAAACGAATCTCGAATTAGACTCTCATCTCAGTTTTATGTTATAGATTAAGTGCAGAATAGAAGGTTGTAAATTATAGAGTATAAAGTGAGAAATAATCCATTTTAAGAACTTACAATATTTTAATAATCTTATAGCGTTTTCGGTTCGAGGAGGTTTGTCCCAATCTGAATTGGGATTAATGACCTCTGTTACACGACACGCTTTACGTCAAAGTTATAACATCAATGGCCAATCATAACTATTCTATTGAAGAATGGAATGACTGTGATTGGCCAGTTTCATAACATTGATGTTATAACTTCAGAGTAAAGAGTGTTATGTAAACGTAGTAAATGACGTTGTATGCTCTGCTGCTGGTAACGTCATGTAACGTCAGAGCATGTAACGTCAACCAATATGGAACATGTGACGTAATTAATCTAATGCAGGTCAGTGCAAATTCTTTCGGATCAAAAATGTTAATAATATTTTCTTGTAGAAAGAAATTTAATGGATACCTAGTGAATAGAGTGATAGTCAAGTGATCAACCCTATTCTAACCTTTAAAACAAATTTCATAAAAATCACTCTTAATGTTTTACTTACCAAATTGCAATTTTGTTCTTTAAAAATTAATTTTGTCACACACTCAGAAAAAAGATTTAAAGAGATAAGGATAACTACACAAAGTTTTATATTATATAAAGTTAATGTAACATATAGTTAAATAAATTATTTTATATTTTGTACAATAAAATTCTAGATAATATAAAATTTATACAGTTGTCATCTTCATAATTGCTACAACTATATCTTTTTTTTTACAATAAGTGTGCATAGAACAAAAAGTAATGATAATTTAAAGATAAACAATGTCTACAATGAGATTTTAAGACATAAAACTTAAATTTAAATTCTAGCCTTAAGAAATTGATTATTGACCAATCGATTACTTTCCTCACATTCGATTGCGATTGGTCAATTTTTTTACGGCTTAGGGTTTGAAGCTTAAGTTTTACATCTTAAAATCTCATTGTAAATACTACTTTATGCGTATTTTATGGTAGCTTTGACAATTGAAGAAATGTGTAAAGGGCTGTAAATACTCAGTTCTATGTCAAGATTGACGACTGCGGTTTCATCATCCATGCAATTATGTACAATATGCAGTACAAATGAACATAATTATTGTCATATTTTCACGAATTGTACGAGCATTATTCGAAGAAATTTTTCGAGATTATTATTTTTAGAAAATTTACAAGCCAAGCAGAACAATAGGTCATAAAAATGAATTGAAAAGTGACTTTTAACAATTATTTTGGAGTCATTTTGTCATCACATGACTTTTTGTTCTGTTTGGATAAACACAATAATTGATCGTAACTTTTTTCGTGTCCTTGGCACGCTTTATCCAAATAACGTTCGCAAACGTTTATACGAAGATATGCGATAACTTGCAGAATGCAACGGCATACATCGTAGCGGCGCGCGTGAAGCGAGATGCTGAAGGAAGTCGGCTGCGGTAGCACCACACCCCCGCTGGGGGACGGGGGTGGCGGGACGAACGGTAGGCAGATCGGCGCGAACGAAGGGGGCGGCGGAGGCAGTGGGGGCGGCGGGGGCGGCGGTGGTGGCGGTATCGGCGAGGGTGCTCTCGGTTGCGGTGGCTGCGGAAGGGAGATCGCCGAACGTTGGTACCTAAGGGCGGCTGATCGCGCAT